ATTCCGTTTTATATGAATTCCATGTTGTACGAGTCACTTAGATTTTACAAATACGTGTGCCGGACTGTGAACGGCTCACGTATTTGTAAAATCTAAGTGACTCGTACAACATGGAATTCATATAAAACGGAATAATCAATAGTGTTATAGGGGGTCGACTGTATATATAACTATTAATTAGAAAAAAAAATAACAAATGAAATAGGTATTTTTTTAAAGTAATAATCTCATAACAGCCGGAAAAGTTACGCAACTCTTTGCTAGATTTTTTTATGTATGTAATGTAGTATGCTTCTATCACTGCATATTGGTTTGACTGCCTTTCTATAAAGCAGTACTTTATTTTAGGTGGAGGATTGCAGTTATTAGTTCTCACAGATAGCCAATACATCAAAATTACAGTCCTAATCACTTGTTATGTTAACAATCTCAATATACTTAGTAGTCAGACCGCTAGCATTACAATACAGCCTAACAGTCCCGATAGAAATAGCAAAATATTAAAAGTGTAAAAAGTTTACACTTCTTTCTCCTATTACAATTTCTACACACGTAGTAAAGTACACAAGTTTTTCCTGAAAATATAGGGTAAACAATACTACAATTGGCCATTTCGAATATAAACTCTTTAATAAAATTATTCTGGAAATATTGCGTGGCAGTATTAATACAATTTAAACAATCCTGCGGGTTTTTTCTATCGTTGCGTGTGACTAATAACGACACAATTTTCGTAAAAACAAGACATTTCGGATTAAACGATCGACGTAATATCTAGACGTTGGCAGTAAAAAGGCTAACGTGTCTACCGGACACTTTAACTGGTGACACCGTCACCGCGTAACAATAAAGGTCGTTTCTACTCAGTTTCGTCACCCGACGTCAATGCCACTTTCTCGGACCGCGCGCTTCCCTTTTTTGGAGGGGAAAAAAATGGAACTATTTGGAAATTTGTCGGTCTCGGATGTAGATGAGGCACCCGCGATTTTCTTCTTTCCTTTCGGGTCGTCCTCTTCCTCGGGAGGGCGGTCGATGGCGGTCGTCGGGGCGACGCGTCCGTACGACGTGCAAACAAACGCCTTTCTTCTATTATCGTTCGGACGTGCGAAATGTCGGCCTCCGAATCGCGCCGCGGCCCCTACTCCCGGACGGGATTGGGTCCCTCCGCCCGTTTTCGTTTGCCGGAAGTTCTGCTTGCCTGTCGAAAAAAAGAGCGACGGATCCCCGAAGACCCTCGAGTCTGGGCCTTTTTGTCCCTGGCCGCCCTGTCGACGGGAGAGAAAACGGAAGCCCGGTCCCGTCAGGTGAGTGTTCTTGCTGTTTCCGGTTCCGAAATACCGTCGGAAACGGAAGTCTACCAGATGAAGGGAATGGAGTACTTCCGTTTTTGGAGCCGACGAATCGTCCGGGCGAGGCGAAAGTTCACCAAGTCTTATCAAAAAGACAAAACCATCGGAATGTTTCGAAGACTAAAATACGGAGTTCGAGAGGAAATCTTCCCGGATCGATCGACTTCCTTCTATCGTTCTATCTTCTGGAGGAAGCTTCTTTGTCCGGTGTCGACCTCTTCGCCTCAGACGGTCCGAAGAGGCGCGTATCGACCGAACAAATCTAATCCTAAATTAACTTATGGTAGTTCGAAAAATAGTGAACGGATGTTTGAATCTGTTTATAAAAACCTAAATTTAAAGAATGTAACAGTTGCCAAATTAATAAATGAATTAGGAGTGCAGATACGGGCATCGTCAGTGGGGATCTAATGGGTCCGTAGACCCCCTTTTTCCACCGTGTTGGGTTTTAATACATCACAAAGCTGGGCTCCGATTGGTATTTATATTGTTTAACGATAAAAAAAAAGTACAATATTTTGAAGATAGAATTTTGTTTTTATTGTATAAAACGTTGATTAATTAATTTATTAATTATTCTAACCCAGGAATAGGTTAGAGGGTTCCCAATACATACGTATATATAATATGTAAGATAATATATTAATGCAATATTTTCAAGCTATTTGATTAAAATTAAATTTTTAAAAATTGCAAGTGCATCCCTGAGAGGACTGATGTATATTGTGATGACCCGCCCAGTTCCGAGCTTTTCGAAGTCCAGATATTTCGATGAAAGAACTGAAAAGCAAAAACTCAGGAGTTTCAAATATATTCGCTTAGATATATTGTAGGCAATCGAAGGTTTTCTTGAAGACGTGAAACGTTATTAATACATAACGTGCTGCTGTTACTTATTTCACTAGATTCCCTCTTGTAATCATCTGACCACGCACCTGGCAAGACAACAAGAACAAAGACAGAAATCTTAGAAAGGTATACGAGCTTAAATTATTACACTGACACTTTACACGTGGTAAATAACTATGAAAAAGCACTAACAAGTAAGTGTACTGTACATCAGTTTTTATCAAATAAAAGTCAATGTATATTCATCACCGATAAGTGTCCCAACTACATCACAGTTGTGATTTGCCCAATCTTCTTACTCTTGGTCGAAAACCCTCCCAACAGCCCAAAGCGTGTTGAATTTGAAAACTCGTCTCCCCCTCAACATTCTTCAACTGTTCCTTCTTCAATGTGTAACCTTTATTACGACCAAATAAATTTATTATTTATTTACTTGAATTGCCGAACGGTTTATAACGGTAATGTCTCAGCTAACGATTCCATTGTCTACGTAAGTTCTTTACGGAAATGTGCTGTGATGTTATACAGTCAACCGGCCTTTTGACCCGAGAAGGGTGTTTGGTCGAAAGAGATTAAAGTATAATTAGTTGTAATAGTAACGAAGTAGCGATGGATGTACGAAATTCCACTCTTCTTTGGTTTCTCTGTTTTTAGGTAGACGTAGTCTCTGCTTTCGTGGGATCTCCTGGAAGTCGCCGTCTTTTCTTCTCCGCCACCCGTGACTCTTCGGGTAAGTGTTTATTTCCCAAAAGCTGTTTATTTCCCACGGCATTTCGAGCTGCAAAACGGATTCTTATAGACCTTTGTCTAGCAACCACCCACTTTTTTACTCGGATATCTTTTTAATACATCAATATAAGATTCAACAAAGAGGGTTGGGCTAATAAATTTTCAGTTCTTCTCTTATAAGGGAAAATAAAACACAAAACTCTCCGTACGTTATTCAATATCGATGATTATTTTCAGGGGAAGGCGGTTTTAGAGCCGGTACCGAGAACGAAATGCTCTTGACTGGAAGAATCCTTATTATGGCAAAACTGTTTCCGGAGGCGGAGCTTTCCGCCGACCACACTTTAGATGTGAGTATCGGACCTGATTTTATCCGATTTCTGCGGGCGAAATCCCTAATTTTGTCTTTAACTGTAGGCGGTAACTTGGATGTCGCTGGAGACGGATCCTCCAGAGGCTCATCGCGCCTTCCACTCCGTCCTCCGACGTGTTTTCCTGCCCGCTCTGGAAGGCGAAAAGAAAGAAGGAAATTTCAAAAGTATGGTGATGTACGCTCTGAGGTGTTTGGCCGACTCTCTGCAAGGTGAGTGTCATCCGTAGTCGTAAAATTTTGTTTATATTCTTAAATATTTCGGCTCTAATTTTTGATTGGTAAGAAGCGTAGAGCTAAATGCGAAATATTTCGCTCGGAGAAGGAAATTCCGACTTCCTCACCTTCTTCGGTTGCGATTTTCGTTACGGTAAACGATTCGTCTAGGCCCTCAAACGACTTTAGTTACAGTAGAAACAGCGACATCGCTGATGAGCGAGAGAGAGACAGCGACAAATGCGAAGCGATTAATTAATAAACGAAAAGAGGACGACATTTAAATCACAGTCGTAAGCGAGTGGTTCGCAGACTTCGTGTTTGGAAAGATTCTGTCGGATAAATAACTAATCTATACGTTTAGACGTTCCAAATTAATGCGAGAAATTTTCAGTTAAAAAAGTTTAGAATTATCATTGTCGTTGCGGTTTTCTATCATAAAATGAAAGGTCGAAGAGCAATCAAAATTAATCATTAGCAATTATCTCCTCATCCCCTCGACCTTTAACCACCAAAATTTAATAAAATCAATCTTCCTAACAAGCAAATCATCCTGCAAAATTTCAGAAATTTTGAACAAATAACACAGGAGTTATTAAGTTTCAAAGAGGATGAACAAAATGGTGCCCCACCACACACACTAATATCCATACATAGAAAATTATCCTCTCTTTTGCATTTTTCGACGTTTCAAGATGTCCTGAGTCTAAAAATATAAAAATTTTGGGGTTTCATTTTTTAACCGATTGCCATACTTTCTCTCTGTTACATATAACAGCCGGGAAAGTAATAAATGAAATACTTTATACGAATGGTGCCAATATGATGTCGCTCGCGCATTTCGTTCTCTTCGCTCATCCTCAGCGAGAAAACCCACTGGATCCAACTTCCCCTCTGGCTTTGCTCCCTTCGCTCAGTCTCTCGCCCAGCGACCCCCTTTTACCCTACCAATGCACTTCGCTCTCCTCACGGTTACACATTAGCACGAAGTTAAAATTGTATGTGGCGCCATAGTTATGAGATGTTATCTAAAAATAACTTTTATATTATTAATTATTATAAATGTCAATAACGAGTAAAAGTTTTAACGCTAGGATTTTCACTTTTCTTTCTTTGACAGCGGCCGAAGAGAGTTGCCGACGATTCGAAGTCTTACGGAATGTGGCGGGAGATCTTCGTTTTCCTCCCGTCCTTGCAGATCGGCATCGGTCCTCCCCAAACGGTTTTCTGGCCGTCTGGACGCGAATGGCCGAGACGGTGAGCACCTTCTTCTCTTCTTTCATCTTCTTTTCATTTTATACGAAGAGGTTTCGTTACAGTAAGAGTTTTTAAATGTTTATACATTATATTACATCATCATAAATTTACTGTGTATAAAATATCATTTGTCTATAACGTCTTATGTCGGCGATGACTGTCTAAACTCGACGACTTTCTTATACGGTACCTTGTGTTTTGAGCTTTAGGAGGCATCGGTAATGTCGGATTTCCGGCAGAAGGACGTCTTACTTCCAGAAATCTAACGGGATCGATGCTTTTTGGACAGCTTCTAGCGGAGAGCGACGAGATCGTCCGATTGTCCTCCCCGACGGATCCCGCCTCCGAGTTGTTGGCCTGGAAACGTCGATGGATGAATTTAGTTCACCTGACCCATCGAATTGGCCGAGACGACTTCCGCGCCCGACTTCTCCGCTCCAAAGCTTCCGGTTCCGAATCCTTTCGGGTAAGTATCCGGTCAAATTTCTTCATTTCTCTCGATTTTCCGTCGGCGTTTACCTTCCGATCCCAGGGAGAGGGGAGACGTCCTTCTTAACAACGAAGGAAAGAACCGAACGACACTACGTGTGAGCCTTTACTCAGAAAGAATCCAAAATCTCGAATACTTTCGACCGGGTCGGCCAATTTTTCCCTGGAAAGAAGAAAATTGGGAAACGACAAGCGCCCAATCGGGAGGGGCTACTGTCTTTTCCGTCACGAAAACGTCAGTCGGAATAGAAGCGACTTCCTATATTCTTCTATTAAAAATAAGGCTGGACGAAGGTGGGTCCTTTCACTTGTCGTAAGTCCTAGTACTCGGGTGCGGAAAGGGGCAACGGATACCGGATTATCGGGCTATAAGCTCGATGCTGCTATTAAAGCAGCCGAGATAGAAAAATCGAGAATACTAGAGAAGAAAAGAAAAAGCGAACTAGAAATTTTCTAGGCTGCTGGTGAGGAAACACGTAACATCTGTCTTCTGTTAAATGCATTAAAGACGATTCCACCCGCATCAGTTAAATGAAGGCTTTCTCGGTAGCGGGACTTCTCATTACTAAAATAACCGGATTAGTGATCGGAGTATCGACCATCTTTTCTTTTTAAAATCTTATTATAAAAATTTACGATAATATTTTGTATT